GTGTGTGTAACAAAAAAAAAAAAAAAAAAAAAAAAAAAAAAAAGCTCGTCTCAACTGTCACAGGTGCAAAGTAAAATAAACAACAACAAACCTGGATTATGGATGGGTGGACTGTTCAACTGACAATTTAAAAACAACTTTGTTAAAAATAAATGAAAAAAAACATTAAAAATTAGCAACTATTTTCAAGGACCAAGACCATTGTAAACAGCAATAAGTTGCTAAAACAACTTAAATTAAGAGCTGCACTGTGCAGAAAAAGACCGCTATGGATTTCAGTCCTGACTAAGCTCCTTAAAAGAGAAGTGAGTAAACTTGTGTTAACACCAGACCTGTCCAGCTGCCTTCCAAGGCTGCCATCAGAACACTGTCAGAAAAGGCATGCAAATTATGTTTGAAATTTGCTAACTGGTTCTGCAGTTATGCAATGCATAAATGCAGGAAAAACACACACACACAAACTCTGTAAAAGCAAAAACATGCTTAACCACACAGGAAACAAGCCGTGGAGTCAAATAAGTGCATAATGTTGTAAAGTGCAAACAAGCTAACAGTTGACAATGCTCAACGTGTGTGTGCATGCCATTATTGTGCACATGTCAAACTGGCAGTTGCTGATATAAAAACAAATGTATTTTTGCATGATTGTTTTTCAGTTTAATAAAGATTTCCCTTAAGAGATTCAAAGCTATGTCAACAGCACACACAATTTGTCAACGTTTAGATTTAAAAATAGAGATAAACAAGACCTTAGGCTTAAATACACCGAGTCGGCCTCAGTTTTGAGACACCAAGGTTTTAAAATTTACACATGAATGGATACTTTTAGAGAGTTTAATGGGATCTTTACTGAAGTCAAGTTTACGCTCATTGTCAACAAAACGTTGGGCACACAGATGAAGGCAGTTATTTTGTGCATGTCTATGTACGAAGATAGTCTAAATTGGGCGAAAGGTTGCGGAGTACAGGCAGAGGCCCACACAGTGGGCTTCCTTGTTCCCCACTCCACATCACATGTTCTACTGATGAAGCCGTGCTGCAACAGAGTCAGAAAGAGTAGGTGAAGGGACAGTGCTCATAGGAAGAAATTAAAATCTGCTGACTTCTAACAAAGAGCTTCTGTGATGATTAAGGTAAAAGAACAGAGGGCGACCGTAAATAAGCAGGGAGTAGTAGTACCGACTGATAACAGTGGTATCTCGGAACAGCAAAGGACATGTAACCCAAAACATACGATAAAGCAGAATAATGTGAACCAGGGCATGGGTGCTCAACAACCGCTAACTCATCGTTTTAGGACGATACTGATGAGAAAAAGCAGGAATTAAATTTTAACTAAATTGTAGTCATAACTGTGAGAAGTCAATTATAACAAAGGCGTGCAGCAATAAATAAAACAGTGGTTAAGTTGTAAAGGGCTGACATGACAGCTAGATAAAGTGAACTGGCACACAGTAATTGAAAGCCATTCACTTTGTTCAAGAATTTATTGCAACAAAACTCCCTGATTGTAACAGTAAAGCCAAAGGAAGCTTAGTGATACCTGATCTTTATCAGCTGGCCTACATAATCATTCTTACACCACAACTTCAAATATATTTAATTGACAGTAACGACCGGAAGCTCGCTCAGGTCATGCATTTTCTACAAAGAAGTGGGGTCATTCTAAAATTAGAAC